ACCGTCTTCAGCAAACTGTTACTGAATTGGGTTGATTTCTACAAAACGGCTTTGAAGTCCTCAAGAGAAGAGAAGAAACGGGTTGTTGGATTTCATAGAGGAGATGGGTGAATAGGATATAGGAGCCAGTTTGGTGTGGTGGTTAAGTGCACGGATTCTAATCTGGGAGAACCAGGTTTGATTCCCCACTCCTCCACTTGCACCTACTGGATGACCTTGGGCAAGCCATAGTTCTGGCACAGCTGTTCTTGGAAAAGAGCAGTTTCTGTCAGAGCTCTCTCAGCCTCACCTACCTCGCAGGGTGTCTGTTGTGGGGAGGGGGAGGGAAAGGAGTTTGTAAGTTGGCACCAGCAAGAGCCAGTAGAAGCCCGGGCAGCCCAGTTTCCCACAGTAGCCAAGAGAGACCAGTGTCAAGGGCCAGTAGTGGTTGCTATATCTCTATAGCCCGAAAAGCTCTCGGTAACCTGATCTTGTCGGATCTCGAAAGTCAAGCCGGGTTGGCCCTATTCAGGACTTGGATGGGAGACCGCCAATGCTCCTGCTAAGCTGTGGAGTCTTGTGAGCAAAAATCCTACTTGGTGAGCTGCCGGCATTGAAGTTGTGAGCGAGTGATTTGGCTCCTGCACAAATTTGTTTGCTCTGGAGCCGTCCTTCCCGAGCTGAGACGAAAATGTGTGTGAGCCGGAGGCTAAAAGACTGAGCTGGCTCACACTAGCTCAGCTTAGAGGGAACACCAGAGACCACCTAGGAGATCTGGGTTGCTACACAGAGGCAGGCAGTATTAAACCAGCTGCATTAGCCTCTTGCATGGAAAAAAGCCCTATGAGGTTGCCGTGGGTCGGCAGTGACTTGACTGTACCCCTTTAGCATTCTGACACTGTTCTATTAAATATAGAATATAGACACTTGGAATTCACTACCACAGGAAGTGGTGGCGGCTACAAGCATGGACGGCTTCAAAAGGGAATTAGATAAGCATATGGAGCAGAGATCCATCAGTGGCTATTAGCCACAAGGTATAGATAGGGACTCTGGGGCAAGTGATGCTCTGTCATCTTGGTGCTTGGGGGGGTCAACAGTGGGAGGGCTCCTAGTGTCCTGGCCCCACTGGTGGACCTCCTGACAGCACCTGGTATTTCTGGCCACTGTGTGACACAGAGTGTTGGACTGGATGGGCCTTTGGCCTGATCCAACATTGGCATCTCTTATGTTCTTATGTTCTTATGTTCTCTTATATATATACACACACACATACATACAAGCAACCAGATCTCCATCAGCATGGCATAGGGGAGGGAGGATTACAGGCTTGAGGAAGTCCACTGCGTGGATGCTCTGTTGCTGCGGCAAATGCAGCTCCATTCGCAGTGGCAGGGAGTGACCGAGGAGGAATCGTCGCTATGCAGAAGTGGTCCGGGATTGTCCACGAAATTGTGAATGCTAGATCTGAAATATGAACAATGAAACTGCTTGGTTTTAGCCAGAGCCCCGGTCTCTTTTTTTAAAAAAACCATCAGTCTAACTTTTAAAGAAACTCAAGAAGCCTTTTTGCCCTTTTCAGCCATCCCTTCCCTCCCACCATGGAGTTTCCTGAGGACGATGCTTTCGACCCCACACTCGACGAGTTTTGGTGCCGCCGGCCCTGCTGCTGCATCCGGTCTTGCTGCTGCTGCCGACCTTCCTGCTACCAGCCTTCTTGTTGCTGCCGACCTCTCTGCTGCCGGCCCTGCTGCTGCTGCCGGCCTTGCTGCTGCTGCCGGCCTTCCTGCTACCAGCCTTCTTGTTGCTGCCGACCTCTCTGTTGCCGGCCTTCCTGCTGCTGCCGACCTGTTTGCTGCTGCCGACCTTCCTGCTACCAGCCTTCTTGCTGCTGCCGACCTCTTTGCTGTTGCCAACCTTGTGGATGCTGCTGCCGACCTTGCTGTTGCTGCCAGCCCTGGTGATTCTGCGATGAGTGCCGTTGGTGAAGCTCTGGGGCTCCGAGGAGTCCTGAAGCAACACAGACAGCCCCAGAGGTGGCAGAATACCCACGCCGTGAGCATCCTCGGGAAGACCCATTGCCCCACCGGAATGCCGAGCGCCTTTTCTTTTCTCGCCGAAGCTTTGCGCCTGCCTCCTTTCCCGTTTACCAAGTCTTCTCTTCCTTACTTTAATCCCTGAAAAAAGGGTCTCTCACCAATTCCTAGTATGAGAAGGAGGCATGATTATTGTGTACGATACCTCTTACTTTCTTGTCCTTCACTTTTTCTCCCTGAATTTTGAAACTGATGTGATGACTTCTAATTCAAATAAGGCATTAAGAACCTTTGTTTTCTAAAGATACATGGACTGTAGAAGTAAGGAGCTTTTAGTTTGTCCGCATCTGATGACTGGAGCTTTGACTCTCCAAAGCTCCTGCCCCTCAAAATCTAATAAGTCTCTAAGATGCTACTGGACTCTTTCTGCTCTTGTGAACTGATTTTGCCGCATGAGCTGTTCTCTTCCATATTCTTCCAGTGTAACTCTGAAATCCTACCAACCAGAGTCTAGAAAAGAAATGAAAGGATTCCATCTAAGAGAGCCAGTTTGGTGCAGTGGTTAAGTCTGTGGACTCGAATCTGGGAGAACCAGGTTTGATTCCCCACTCCTCCACTTGCACCTGCTGGATAGCCTTGGGCCAGCCATAGTTCTGTCAGAGCTGTTCTCTCAAGGACAATTCTGGAAAGAGCTCTCTCAGCCCCACCTGCCTCACAGGGTGTCTGTTGTGGGGAGGGAAAGGGGAAGGAGATTGTAAGCCGCTCTGAGACTCCGTGTGAAGGGCGGGGTACAAATCAAACCTCTTCTTCTAATGCATCGATAATCTACCCTTTCTAGAAATTAAGAACAAATGAGGTCTCACCATGAGGCCTTGTGGCTCCAAGGGATCATGTAAAGTCCGGACAGAAAGAATGACTAGAGCTTCTGATCCACCTGCCTGCCTAGGTAGGTAGTTAATTAGCAAAGAAGATTACCTGCTGTTAGAAGTGGCATAGCCCAGAGCACCTCTTGATTATCTAAGGCCTACTCCACTTCTAGCCTCGCACAACCAGAAAGCCCAGAATTAATATAATAAGAATAATGACAACTTCTCGCACACTGGCAAATGAGATTCAACCCCCCCCCCCGGGGGGGGGAAACACACCTGTAATGCACCAACAAGAAGCTAGAATATGCTCATGCTTCATCATCAGGCACCTTATATGACCTTACTCTCTTCTCCTTCTTACTCTATTTCCCTCTGGTATGTGGTTCTGCTCTCTCTCTCTCTCTCTCTCTCTCTCTCTCTCTCTCTCTCTCTCTGGAGCCAGTCTGGTTTAGTGGTTAAGTGCGCGGACTCTAATCTGGGAGAACCGGGTTTGATTCCCCACTCCTCCACTTGCACCTGGCTGGATGACCTTGGGCAAGCCATAGTTCTGATAAGAGTTGTTCTTGAAAAAGAGCCGCTTCTGTCAGAGCTCTCTCAGCCCCACCTACCTCACAGGGTGTCTGTTGTGGGGAAGGGAAGGGAAAGGAGTTTGTCTCCTCCTCCTCCTCCTCCTCCTCCTCCTCTTCTTCTTCTTGTCTGTCTGTCTGTCTGTCTTTCTCCTCTCTCTCTGTATCTGTCTCTGAAACCCCACCAGCCTTACTTAATGGATTCGACCTCCCCTTCCCCTGCCCAGCTTATTTATTCTGATGTTTTCTTCCACTTATAGTTCTCACCCTGAAGTCCTGGTCACAGAATCATAGAGTTGTCTTGTCTAGATACAGTGCAGATTAGACCTCACATGGGACTCTATGGTGTAAATCATCAGTGGGACACATCTAAATTAAATCGGTCACACTACGCAATGCCTTGTTCGAATTGCATTTGAAGTTTGTCTTTTTCTACTTTGCCTTTCTCCATGTCCTGTTCAATGTCAATAAAATTCCTCTTATAACTTCCCATATTGTCTCTCCTCTTGCTTTATCTTTCTCCAAACCATGCTTTGTCTATGAGAAGACTTGCAATTCTTGATGGGGCCCCCAGACAAAGATTCCATGTGCCCCCCCCCCCCATATAACCTTGTGTCGGGTCTTGAACAAAGCTCACTCCCAACAACACTCTCTTGGCAGTCATATGTTTATTGAGAGGGGAAGAGGTCTCAAGCATAGATGAATCTGTGTCAGAACTGGCTCCCTTGGTGCCAGTTCCAAATTATACATTTTAATTAATTAATTTGTTTGTTTAATTTGTATCCTGCCCTCCCCACCAAGGCAGGCTCAGGGCGGCTTAGAGACAATATTTAAAACAGTTAAAACACAGTACTTTAAAAAAATCATAACAATCTCTCCCTTATTATAATTGAATAGCAACGTTCTATATTGCAACATTCTAAATTTGGCCCCTTTAGTGTTAGGCCGGAAGAACTGCCACTCAGAAGACACTGGCTGGGTTGACTGGCTGCTTTGTGCAGTCCCCCCCAGCGTTCCAAGGTCATTTGCATGTGGAAGCTGATTGGACTTCACTCCATTCCACACCTCAAACTCACCCCCCCCCGCAAGGCAGTTGGAATTTTCAGTTGCATAACATACCTCATAGGGGAGAGGAGAATGATGTCAGCTGCCCTTTCCCTAGGCAGAGGCTGGGGGGGGGGTTGTAAAAAACTTAAGACAGACAGGCAGATTAAGGTTGGAAACTTCCAGGATATTTTAGGGATGAAGCCTGCTGAGGGTGGGGTCTGAGGAGGAGGAGGAAGAGGGGGACCTCAGACAGATACAATGCCATACTGCCCACACTCCAGACAAGCTGTTGCCAGTCTCCAGGTGACAGCTGGAGAGATCTTAAAGCTTTGGTGCTAATTCAAACTGTTGCAATTTATCGACAGAGTAGTGTTTCGGAAAATCTTTAGGAATTGTTTGGTGCATTTACGATGGGGCTCCTGGGGAACTATTGTTGCCAATCTTGGCCCAACAGCTATCAAACCATTCTCTTCACCCCCCTGCTGTGCAGCTGACTTTCCCCTAGGGTTGCCAATCTCCAGGTGGGACCTGGAGATCTCCCACTGTTACAATTGATCTCCAGATGACAGAGATCAGTTCCCCTGGAGAAAATGGATGCATTGGAGGGTAGACCCTATGACATTACACCTGCTGAGTCCTTCCGCCCCCCCCCCGCCCAATGCTGCCCTCTACAGAATCCACCCCCAAATCTCCAGGTATTTCCCTCCTTAGAGCTGGCAACCCTACATTCCCCTCAGTGCCTGTTGGTAGGCAACTAAGCTTGGTCCTGTCACCTACTTTGGCCTTTGGGAGAAAACACATTGGGGCCAGTCCTGATAGGGTTGCCAACTCCAGATGGGAAATTCCTGGAGATTTGAGGGATGGAGCCTGAAGAGGGTGAGGTTTGAGGAGGGGTGGGACCTCAGACAGGTACACTGCCATAGACTCCACCCTCCAAACCAGTCAGTCCCACATAGGGAACCATTGTTGCCAATCTCCAGGTGAGGGCTGGAGAGCACTCAGAATTACAACTGCTCTGCAGAAGGGAGGGCAGAAGTCAGCTGAAGTCAAAGGGGCAGATAATGGTAGGTTGATGGTTAGCTGGGAAGGAGATGGGGTTGCCAACTACATGCTGACAAATTCCTGGGGATTTGAGGGGTGGAGCCTGGAGAGGGTGGGGTTTGCAGAGGGGTGGGACCTCAGACAGGTAGAATGCCATAGACTACACCCTCCAAACCAGCCACTTTGTCCTGGGTAACAATTGCTGCCAATCTCCAGGTGAGGGCTACAGATCACTCACAATTACAACTGCTCTTCAGGTAGCAGAGATCAGTTCCTCTGGAGAAAACAGTGGACTCTGTCATTATACCCTGCTGAGGTCACCACAGCAAATTGACACTGTTTGCCCAAAGCCAGAGCACTCCCCCAGAGCCTCTTTCTAGATCCCGTTGTATTGCTTTCACAACGGGCTTTACTGCTAGTACAGGATAAAACATATCATAAAGTGCTAGTACAATTCATAGCTGATGGCGGCATTCTCAGCATCCATATGATCAACTACCACTGTAGTCTGGGTTTTGTCAGGCTATTAATCATATTTTTGAGTTGATGTTGTTATTGGGCCCAGGGCCTCGTTATTGGAAGGGCAGCACCCTAATAGAAAGGCTGGTGGAAGAGCTCTGTTTTACAGGCCCTGTCAAAAATCCCTCTCCCTCCAGTGACCCATCCAATCACACTCATACATTCAGCCCACCAAAACCTATTGTGCCCCGTTAGCCCTTCCTCCCAGCACCTCCCAGTTTGGTGTAGTGGTTAAGTGCACGGACTCTGATCTGGGAGAACCGGGTTTGATTCCCCACTCCTCCACTTGTACCTGCTGGATGTCCTTGGGCAAGTCATAGTTCTGGCATAGCTGTTCTTCAAAAAAGAGCAGTTTCTGTCAGAGCTCTCTCAGCCCCACCTACCTCACAGGGTGTCTGTTGTGGGGAGGGGAAGGGAAAGGAATTTGTAAGGCGCTCTGAGTGAAGGGTGGGGTATAAATCTAATCTAATCTCCTCCTCCTCTTCTTCAATTAGTCAATAGTCATTCTAAATCTAGCTTCGTTAGGAATAGTACCTCCCTCTTACTGGCAGGAACATTCTACTCAATAGCTAATTGGATAGTGAAGGGTGGGGTATAAATCCAATCTCTTCTTCTTCTTCTACTGCAAATATATGGCCACATTATCTGGCAGTGTCTGGTACTCAAGGTCAAGCACTCATACTTTCCACAATGGGGAGGCCCCACATGGATGCAATTACAAGCCAGTGTGACTCTCAGCAAAGCAACTCCAAACACGGCTCCACACCCCACCCCACCCCAATTCCCATCCAGAATGCAGTTATAGGTATCGAAGACAGACAGACAGGAAATAAATGGCAAACTAGGCTCGAGTTTGACACCCAGATTCAAACCATATACCCTAACAAAACAGAATCACTTGGCTTCCTGATGCCATAAGCAGAATAACAGTTGCTCATTTTATGTAACAGTAAAGGAAAATGGACGAGGTTTGCCAAAATATATATATTAGATTTAGTTATTAGTTAAAGGTAAAGGTTCCCTTGCTCAAAAGCCACTCGAATCCAACTCTTGGGTTGCGGTGCTCATCTCCATTACAAAGCCGAAGAGCCAGCGCTGTCCAAAGACATTTCCGTGGTCATATGGCCGGCATGATTAGACACTGAGGTGCACGGAACGCTGTTACCTTCCCACTGAAATGGTACCTATTTATCTACTTGCAAATTCTTGCTTTCGAACTGCTAGGTTGGCAGGAGCTGGAACTAGAGACGGGAGCTCACTCCATCATGCGGCACACTCGGGTCTCGAACTGCTGAACTACCGACCTTCCACAGCCTGCAGTTCAGCGTCTTAACCACTTGAGCCACCGCAGCTCCAACTTATTAGTTACCCTCTGCTAATAGGGCTGCGGTGGCTCAGTGGTTAAGATGCTGAACTGCAGACCAGAAGGTCAGTAGTTCAGCAATATGAGACCCGAGTGCCGTGTGACGGAGTGAGCTCCCATCTCTGGTCCCAGCTCCTGTCAACCTAGCAGTTCGAAAGCAAGACATTGCAAG